AAGGTTTGACAACTGATGGAAGAAAAACAAGGGTTTTAACCAAAGTTCTGAACGTTAAATTTAAAATAATCAAAAAGTACTTTGGTTTTTCCTCTTAATAATAAACATTTTGATCATAAAACTTTTCTTTTTTTAAAAAAGAAAAAAAAAAAAAAAAAAAAAAAAAAAAATCAAGATTGGGTTCTTTTTACCTCATGGTATGCTTTTTTTTTTCTTCAAATTAGTGGAGGTACCTAATTTAAAACATTTTATGTTGATAAAAAGTAACAAACCAAGACTAATTATTTTTGTTAATTTTTAAGATTTTTATTTCTTTATTTTTCTTACAAAAACAATTGTATAAAAAAAAAAAAAAAAAAAAAGAAAAATCATTTGTACAAAGAGCAGATAGAAAAAAGGGGTCCACATAGTTGCTTTGCTAAACTGCAAATTAATACCTCATAGTAAAAAAAAAAAAAAATAAATATTTAAACCAATGTCTTTATTTTTGTTACCCCATCTCCAATAAAAATGTCTGTAAATCAATTAAACTGTACCACCATCATCAAAAACTTTCAAGCTGGTAATACTGTAGTGAAAAACTTCACTTTTATCATGAACCACAACTATGCATAAAAACACATTGAGTGAGAACTTCTCTTTTTAGTAAACTCATAAAAATTAATTATCACTATGCCACATAATTTCTCATCAAGACATTACAAAATTAACAAATATCAAATAAGATTACAGGTGAATTAATTAGATTTATTTTTGGCATAATTATAATTTAAAACAAAATTATTCATCCAAATGATTTCTGTTAAATTGTTTATTACTTACAAACCATTTCAAGAAAAAAATTTCTTCATCTACATTTGCATAACGATAAAAATTGATTTGCAGCCAGGATTATTAATTTTTATCTTGTGGTTTAAAACACTGGCTTAAAATTTTTTTTTGGACGAATTTATAGCACAAATAAGTCATTTATTGTAATCTAAAATGACTCCTCATACAATAAGAAAATAAAAAAATGAGAGGAGGAATCAAGTGAAACACTTCGCTCCTACTTAAAATAAAAAATATTCATCAAAGTTTGTCTTTACTTATCCATATATTGTAGATTCAATGTCAGAATTTTGGCTATGTTTATCAAGTGTAAAAAATCTCTCAAAAATACTGCAACACATTACAAAGTTTGTTTGTTTTTTTTATATTACAAAAAGGAAAACAATTACACAGCTAGGTCTCAACCTGCAGAACTTGTATTTGTTAGAATCAGATTTCTCATTAGTAGATTTGAACAATAAAAAATTATTTCTATATTAAAAAGAAACTCGGTAAGAACTGTATATTTTTTTTAAAGCATGAAAAATAATCTTTATTATTTTTCTCCATAGAAGAAATTACAATAACACTATTCCAACATGCATGTAATTTCTAAAGAATTAATGAATTTTATTTATAACCCAATATTATTACTATCAATATCACATCTTGTTGATACATGTAGTTGAGTAGACATCTGTTTTTTTTCAAACAGTAGAATTGATATCTACCATCTATCAAAGACTTAAATGCCTAGGCCACTAGACATCAATTAATGGCTGGCTGCTCATATCTGGGTTTACTTGTCTGCTAAAATAGCTAGCCAATTCCTGTTGTAGACAACAGCTCAGGCACATTATTTTTGTAGGTGTTTGTTTAATAACCACAAAGCCTACCTGTGGTTTGTACTGTAACTATGCTGAATGGGCCTTAGTTACAATTTCTGAGAGAGAGTGCATCATTTGGTGTAATGAACAGTTCAAACAAGGCCAGTCACGGTGACTTTTGCTAGCACAACCATCAATGAACAATTTCATATACTTAATTCCCCAACTTGCCAGGCTTGTAGTATGGTTTGCAGACACTTTTCAAAGTGCTGCATTCTGGGATCACCTATCCTGACTAATAACATCAAGAAGTCACTTCTTGATTGGTCATGGTGTGATTCAAACCTGGGTTCCATGGTTGGAAAATAAGCATTCTAACCACATGGCCATGCACCCAAATAGACATTCATTATGATACAAGGAAACAAAAAGAAAAGAAACAACACAACAAAAAGAAACAACACAACAGCAATGTCTACTCAAACACACACATATCTATTTATAGTAATAATAACACACACAAAGATTTGACCATTATTAAATAATGGTTGACATACATTAGTTTGGTCAAAAAAGAAAATGTAAGCATTGAAAGGCATTTCTCTAGGTGTTTTCCTAATTTCCAGTGATGCATTTCTTTCTGTGCATATTTAGAATATTGAGTTGGATAACAAAAAAACGTTTCACTTAAAAGATTTTTATGAAAACAAGTTCTCTAGAAATTAAGACACAGCAAACCACAATAATAATATTACCACTGATTCTGGTTATTAAATTTCATATATGAAATGCGCATGCAAATGGAACAACTATTATGGGATGCACGTCATAATTTTATAAAAAATAAGACCCTAAAGAATTACAACCTCTTTCCTATAATATTTGTTACATTTAGTGTTTGAAAAGTGTACATAAATAAAACAATTATTATGGGACACAGATTGTAATTCTACACAATATGTTGCTAAAGGATTAATAACTCTGTCCCATAATAGTTGTTCCATTTGCATACACATTTCATACATAAAATGTAGCAACTATTATGGGACACAGTAATTATTTATGATCTTGGGTTTTATAAAATTACAACTTATGTCCCATAATAGCTGTTATATTTGCATACACATTTCATGCACAAAATTGAACTCAGATTATGAGGTCAGAAATAATAAGACTATTTTTTTAATGCATGAAAACTTTTAAAAAAAAAAAAACATAAATAAATAAAAAGTTATAGCTTCTTGTTTACAACCATATTCCTTTACATCAAAAAAATTAATATCATTGACAATATTATCAAAAAAAAAAAAAAAAAAAAAGGATACACAAATGTACAAAACAATTCTCACAGCTTCTCAAAACTTAACCACTGTACCTGAGCCATGCTTTAAGGTGTAAATAAATGTAAATTAATTTCCAAGTTTCAGGTTGGATTTTAAAATCTAAATCAATTACCATCTTTAAAGATTACTTTTTTAAATGTAAGTTAATAAAATTTATAATTTATCTCATCTATTAAGACATTTCAAGTATGAGAAATAATTAAAAAAGTAGTACATTAGACAAGTTAAAAATGTTTGAATATTATAAAGGCAATGCTTGCTAGTGTAGCTCTTCAATTAAAGCATGGGATTTTTGGCCTAATGATTTGTGGTTCAATTGCTCGTGTCACAAATCAGAATTTTTCCCAATAAAAATGGTTATCAGAGATTTTATAAATATAATGACCACTTTTCTTTTTTTTCCTTTTTACCCACTCATAGGTTCAAATGCAAATCATGTACTTATAGCAACATGAATCTTTAGACCCTCCCTCCCTGCTTCAATGTGACCTATATCATACTTACAGATCACAATCAAAGCTATCAGTTTTGGACAGTACATAATTGGTAATAGCAAATTATTGAAGAAAAAAACCCTAGCTAAAAAATGCTGTAGTGTAATGATGAACAACCAGTCCTGTTATCAAGCTATTTGTGATACATCAGCAAATCACTAGGTAAATAGATTTAGGAAGTAGGTACGAATTGGTACAGTTCAATAACTCCTCTACTAAGAGGGTAGCTAACTTAAAAGCAAGTTCAATTAGGGCTCTTTAGCAAAGGATGGTGACACGGTTATAAAATGCCCAATAATTGCAAATATTAGAAAAGGTATATCAGTTAAATAGGAATGGCTTAATGATAAAAGTCTATAGGCATAATGAATTATTAATACTGTCGGCAGGTTATCAATCAAGGGAAGTTAATTCAGTCAGACAACATTCAATATCTGAATAGTATCATGGGTGCTTATTTTAACTACTTTTCAAACAAAAATTTTAAGTGCTATTTGGTACAAGTGTATCTGAGAAGTGTCAATAATAAATACTTCCTTGAATATATCTTTAAAAAAAGACTAAAATAGGTTAAAATAAACCTAAAATGATGAACAAAGAAAAAAAAAATATTACCTACACAGTTCCTACAAAATGCTTATGAAATAAAATAAATATCTAGAACCCCTCAACAAAAAAAAAAAAAAATAATGCTACAAATGTATTTTCCTTTTTATAATCAATTACATATACAAGTGAGTTACAAAAAGTTACAAAAGTTTAGACGAAACCTATATAATATGTTGACATTCACTATGCTGTTTTATAGAGAAAACTTATGCAAACACATGTTAGGAAAGTTGACATGGTGTAATGGTTAACGAGCTTGTCTTGCTAGATCAATTACAACCCTCACAACATGCTCCATACTTTTGGCCTTGTGCCACATATAGTTGGGCATTTTAACATGGTGTAATGGTTGTCTCACTAGATCAATTATGAATGAGTGATAAATTCAATCCCCACTCAGTGCACTATAAATGCAACCTTGTACCACACCTAATCTATACTTAGTAAATTTATTATATTAGCATCATATGTTTAGCAGGGAACCAGTAAGGTTCTTAGTGGCAACAGGTTTTTCCTTGTCAAGTTTCTTTGTAAAAATTTGCATCAAGGGTGTCAATTTTGGAAAATAGCTTGGGATTAGATGTTTAAAATCTCTTTTGTAACCCCATTAATGCACAATAATGCAAATCATTTGAGAAACCCCACCAAACAATTAACTACCTTTATTGGCTAACAAAAAAGGAAAGAAAAAAATAAATAAATAAATAGAAAAAATAAAATTTATATATTTTCAGATAACATCACACCACACACATTATCCTGGTATACATTTTTATAAAAAGACAGCAGTCAAAACAACTAACAAACAGCAGCAGAGATGAGGGGCTTTTCTTCACTTTTCAATATGCATCTTTCTAGAATTACCATGAGTCTCACCATCATAACTACTAATACTACCATGGCCTCTATCTCTATTTTTATCGTACCAATCCACTATACACACGTGCAGCTTGATAGCGGATATCTTCATTCTTATGTTTACTCAGTAAGAATACTTTGTTCTTTAAGTCTCCCATTGATTGGACACCATAGACAGCAGTGTACATGGTCTCTGGGGAGGCTGCCTTATCAGGGCAAGGGAGGGATGACTGTGACATCTTGTTGACTCGCACTGTGTGAACAATGTTAGCCAGGAGGGTAGTCCAACGCAATACAAGGGCTTCTTCAGCATCCTGCTGTAAAAGTTCGAGCAATGAGTGAGGAGCCTGAAATCAAGCAACAAAACAAAAATAAGTTACTTTGGTGGAGGCGGGGAAAAAGAAGGGGCAAAATTTTGCACAAATTTACCAGCAGAAAAAAAAAAAAAAAAAAAAGTCTTAAAAGGACAGTTTTCCTTTTGTCACTAATATTACTGTGTACTCTTTTGCCAATTTTCATTGTTTTAAAAAGTTGTTTTTTTTTTCTTTAAAACCCAAACATGAAACTGGACTTGTATTAGTTTTTCCCGAGAACTGACAACAAAAATGTTAAACACCATTAGATTGTTTATTTACAATTATTATAATGTTTGTATAACGCTTGTAGCTCTAGTTAATAATGCTGTAAGGAAATACTGGAATAAAAGGTTGAGTGAAGAATAGGTTTAATTACATGAGAGACATGGATTAATAATACAGTAATAGAGAATACCATAATTCAGTGTGGCAATGCGTACAACTCAAACGCTATACCTTGCGACTCACTTTGCAATGACCATTCCTATGAGCAGACCATCTACTCATAGTGGATGGATGAGTCAAAGTCCAAAAATTAGTGTAGAAAAGATCAGCAGTCTTTCTACACAATAATTATAAAATATATAAACCAATTCCAGTACAATATTTATTATTTACCATATTATAATGAAATAACTATGAAAACAAATCTTTTTATTTGTAAATTTATAAGTGTCAGAAGAACAGTTTAAATAAGCACAATTTCATGAATATCTCAATATAAATTTTGAAAAAAAAAAGCATTTTCCAGGAACTTCTTTCATTTGCTCTCACCTCGTAAATTCACTAAAATAGGTACTGATCATTGGAGTTTACTTATTTTATAATTTTGAGAACTGACAACAAAAATGTTAAATACTACTAGATTGTTTATTTACAAGAATAATTTGCGCTATCTAGTGTAGGAGGTAGAACTCACAATTACTGTCACAATATCAGTATTTTTGCTCAGACAATATGCTGTAACAAAATTGTTACAACATATTTCCTTAAAAAAATTATTGCTATGACAATTACAAATATGAAGTTAAGCATCCCCGAGTTTTAGCATTTCTTTCAATGTATAACTGACATTTGTTAATATTTCATTCCCTCCCCCTACACACAAAGGTCCCTTCAATAAAAACATTTAGTCCTTTTAAATGATGAAAACCTCACATAGGATTTTTTTCTATTTTGTCATTCAATTATGCACCATTAGTCTATATGAAAAACTCTTCGAGGACAGAAATAATTTAAACTTCAAATAAAAATCAATTTGGTCACTAATAATAAATAGACAGCATTACATGTCAATAATTCATAATTATACAGAAATCTATAAAATATATTGATGCAGTAAAAACCTCACTAGTGCAAGTGTAAGGGTTACCCCCATACTCCTACATCAACCCCCACCAAATCTTCATTCACAACAAAATCCAAAAACATTTTGAACATACCTTAGCTGCTAATAAGTGCTGTACCATATCAGCACTGCAGGACAAATTCACTAACACCTTGAGAGCCTGTAGTTTGACAGGCGTGCTGCCAGCATCCATTAGATTGTAGAGATGTTGAACCATACGAGTGTACTGACCATGGTGTCGCTCTGTGGTCGACAGATTGGTCAGGGCCCTTAAGGTGGACAGCAGTGCAGATTCCTTCATTTCACCCTCCACTGTGAGATCAACTAGCAAGGGGACAGTTTCCTGTATGAAAAAAAAATATGGACAATTAACTCCAAGGAACATAGTCCTTAGCAATCATTATTCAATCAACAAAAATCATGGATGACCTTACTGAGGTTTTGATTTTATTTATATACATGTCAGGGATTTGAATGTATGCATATCATAACACCCGATTTTGTATTTGAAAAATATATAAAAATTTATGAAAAATATGCTTAAAAGTAATGTTTGTAAATATGTACATCATTCAGGTAGATGGGGCTCAAGAACTTGGGAAAGCAGCCCCATCTAGGGGAAGGAAAACTGATCTTAAACCTCCACTGCCTTGAGGTCATATCCAAAACATGGAAAAGGCTATGAAAGTAAATCTAGACAAAAAACCTGGAGTGAAGCTACAAGGGCAGTTGGCTGTCAACACAGACAACATTCCAGCTATCCCTAAACATAATGTCCTGTATTCCTTTGGATCTTCTCGGTACGGTTTGGTTAATGGCATATCAACTCCTTATAGGTCATTTAATGCTGAAATTTTATTTTCTTGTGTAAAAAAATGTATTGCTGGTAATTTTTTCCAATGTATTTTTTTATAGTTTCATGTTTTGACTTCAATTTGGGTGTTCATTATTTGTCCATAGCTTGGACCCTAACAGGTGCTACCACCATGTGTCAAGTGGACCTGAGAACAACAGCAATTAAGAAGTGGTTCCACACTCCTCAAAGCCTCCCAATCAGACACTTTGCTGCTGACTAGTTTGTCATACCCAGGATGGTTGCCAGTGTGGCCAAGAGGGGGCCTTGTAGTCTGGGTAGTGCATGGCCTTCATGTACCATCACCCAGGTTTGCGCCCTGGAGAGGTCACTCCATTTTCACCACCAAAAGACTGAAACCAAGCAGGGTGCTACCTTTATCTTGTGAGATAAACAGACCCCTACTATGTTCATTCAAGTTTGAAATTTTTTTTTTTTCCATTTAATAATTTCAAACAAGTTTTGAGAAATGCTGACTATTTTATTATAAAGATGGTTAAGAAATCAGTCCTTCAAAGCATTGTAGTCTATGTAAGAGGGGCTGAAAATTTCTCAGACCAAACCAACTGCTAAAATCTGGTCAAATATCAGGTTTTATTAGAGAAATAAAAGCAGACATTAAAAAGCAATTCATAACAAAAACGAAACAGTTCATAACGAAAAAGAGAGGTAACAAAATGTATACTACCATAAAATGGTAATACCAAAATATAAAAACAATTGATAACAACTAATGCATTTTATCGGTCCTCTCTCATCGGAAAGAAAAAAAAATAAAATAAAATGTGCCAGCAACTAAAAAATATACCAATTGCAGGCATATATAATTCAAACGAAAGATGGTCCAAGTGTGCTTCTTATAACATGTATATTTAATAGACCAGTTACTGAAATTTGAGGTATAAAAAGACAACAAAATTCCAACTTTAAAATCTTTCTCTTCATGCTTCAATTTGGTTAAAAAGTTAATATATAATAAATATCATCAATCTTATTGTCAATATTGTTATCATTTTGTTGATTTTTTTTATTCATCTAATTTCATTAACCTGTGTGTGTGTGTGTGTGTGTGTGTGTGTATAAAAATACTGACAAACTTTTGGAGATTTGAATAATTTCTCATAATAATTCGAGTCTAGAAAAAGAATCCTCAACAGAATGCAGAAAGCACTGGACAGCCGTTTCATCCTTTTTTTTTGGGGGGGGGGGTCTCATCAGTAGTGCGCATCCACTACTAAGAATTGAACCCAGACTATTACAATACAATGCAAACATCATGCCACTGGGCCAGCGGGCCTCAGTGACAAGAAGAAACTAACTAAACACAATATAGTGCAGCTACTCCTAATTCCGGTTGTGATACTCGTCCAAGCACACACAATCCACTTGAACCGGCTCCAAGAGCAACATCCATCTTTCACCAAGAGTATTCGAATATGGATCAAGCATAGGTTCATAAGTGATAGGGAAAAAAAAAAAAAAAACAATTTCTATCACTTATAAATCAATACTTGATCCATCTTCTAATGAACTGGATGAATCATTAGAAAAAAAAGTTCTTTCTCTAAAATGTTCATACAGCATCAATCAATCTTCTAATATCTACTCACTTTATATATGCTGAAAATAGAAAAATGATTTTCTATATTATATATTCTTCTTTGTCTTTTGTTTTAATTTCTTTGTCAAATGGGAAACTGTTATTGGTCTTGACATCTCAGATCAGTCACTTTTCCATTGCCATAGTTTCCCTGTGCCTTCTCTATAAATATTCCTGTTTAGTACCTAGATTTTACAAATTCAAGTGCAATACTAGGTTGGCAACTTGGTCTGATTTTACAGAGAAAATGGCTAGATGTAACTAAGTTCTATGCTAACAATTTCTTCTCTTTACATTTTTTTTTGCTTTCCAGTCAACTGTGATCCTCAAAAATTTAAATGCAATGTCAATGATTATCTTCTATCTTCTTAATTCCTGTTTTCATTCTTCTATCTTAATAATGTTTTTCTTTTTCTCATTCTTTTACACTTAGTAACCCCTTGCATGGGGTGAAGTGATTAAATAAAAAAAATAAATAAAAATTAAAACATGCAAACAAAAATATCAGAACAAATAGAAACTTAAAAACAAAGAACAACACTGGATTTAGATTATGAATTTTCAGTCTTTACATAATTATAGGAATATCATCATATAAATTGAAATAAAGTTGTGGCAGAATGTTTACAGAATAAATGAAAAAGTTCAAACTCCGAGCTTACTCAATCAAAATATAGATTTTTCGAAAGATAAGCACTTAAAACAAAAGTTTTCTGTACTTACTGTTTGTAAATATAGCAAGTTAGGAAACAAGTGAATATATAAATCCCAAATTAAAAATAAAAAAAAAAAAAAAAAAAAAAAAAAATCTTCAGATGCCTTTTTAAAGACACTTCCAAGAATTCAAATGAAGTACAACTGAAGACAAACAAAAATATTTTGCCACTTATATAAAGGAGTTTTTTTTCTTCATTTAAAATATACATAATGATCAACTTCCTTTTATAAATAAGGAAACACACCCACATAGCAAGTTTATATATCACTATAAAAAGAACAATAATAAAACTGAATATACAAAGAGGGATTTCAATTTATTGTTAACTATATTGGTTATTTTACACCAAGTGGTATTTCCTTTTGCATCGTGAAGAATTCTATCAACAAGAAATTCAAGTGTATGTCGTTTTGTTTTTAGCACAAAGAGCAGGCCAGCTTTTTTTTTCTTTTCTTTTTTCAAGTAAATATAAATGATGCAATTTAGGATTACCTCAAGGTAGAAGCAGAGATTTTAATACCAAACATTTGAATTTTGTAACAAAAACATTTTAATATCATCAGTTTTACCCATCAATTCTATCATTTCAATAAATTAAAAATTGTAATTTGTTTTTTTTTTTCCAAGCTGTTGCTAACCATGTATGTATATCATATATATATATATATATACAACTGAGGTGGGCACTTTGACATGGTGTAATGGTTAGCAAGCTTGTCTCCCAAAATCAATTATGACTGAATATTGAGTTCTATACTCACTGGGTGCTCCATATTTTCAGTCTTGTGCTACATCTAAGCTATGCTTAGAAAATCACCATATATACAGCTGAGGTTAAAGTTTACATACAACAATATTATTTCAAATTTTATTTCTACACTGGCTAAAATTACAATACACCAAATGCATGCTTCAGTTTACAGGTTCCAAAATAAACGTGTTGCACCAACAATATTCAGACTTCATATTAATATACTGCATAAACTTCTTGGATTTCAATACAGAAATGTACTCTCATATACATATGATTTTACAGATGGCAAATACCAACTTGTGATGCATTTTTCCATATCTTCCACTATTTCTCATGCAACTGTTGATGCAATGCAGCAAAAGTTATAGGTGGGCTAACTGAAGGAGTCAGGTGACATCCCATCACGTATCAAGTATATTCAATGTGGGAGAGATCAGGAGATCAAACTGTCTAGGGAAATTGTTGAATATGTTACAGAACATATTATGACAGGCACTATTCTACTAGAATAGCAAATTGCTTTCCTGTTGCAGGAATAATAACATAACAGATTAAATAATATTATGGATGTAATTGGTACTGTTCAATATTCTTGCTGCAAACACAAAATAGTGAGTGAAAATTGGAGCTTAGGACACACCCAACACCATGATTTCAAGAACTGGGCCTATATGGCAAATACATTCTGGTAGATATAGCTCTACATGTCTCCTTTACACATGCAAACAGGCATCACTGAACACTAATGTTGGTTGGTTGACTGTTTAGCAGCATATCAACCTCTAACCTCTATGGGTTATTTAATGCTGAAATATAAATATTTTGAACGCAAATGTATACCTTCAACTACAGATAAAATATATTGTTGGTAACTTTACTATAAATAGGTATTGTTGGTAATTTTTTTATATAAAAATGTATTTTTATACTTTCGTAGTGTTTTGTTTGGCAGGGTTCTCTATATACCCAGAACTGGGTCCCTAACAGGTGCTACCACTCCCCTAATACTAAAGAACATCATTTGCTCTGACATGTGACCCATTTGCAATACCACTGGAAACATACATAAATAGTATCATGACATAAAAGGCAGTCAGACTGGAAGTGCACATGACCAACCATAGTTTTGTTGCAATTAAACAATTCCCAAAAGTCCATGTTAACTCGCCTGGTACCACATTTGCATTGTGTTGTGGGAGATATGTAATCTTCTACTTACATTCTATCTTAGTGTGCATCTATACTACCTGACCATCCAGAACCAGGTCTAAAGATGTAGGAATGTTTATTTGATCATGGTTGTGCATAAAATAAACCCAGTGATATGTCACATCCAATATGCAGAGCAATTATCCAAAAACATTCAGAATCTCTAAGGCCAACAATCTAATCTTTCTCAAATGGTTCTAATTGAACAA